ACTGCTGTCGAGTCTATTGTGACTCATAGTGACCCTATAGGACACAGCAGAACTGCCCCACAGGGTTTCCAAGGAACGACTGGTGAACTGGAACTGCCGACCTTTTGGTTAGCAGCCAAGCTCTTAACCACTGCACCACCAGGGCTCCTTCTAGCAGGGCCTAAATATGTAATGCTAGAATTAGAGTGATCTCAAAGAGGATCTTACTCCAACCTCCCCATTATATGTTGTATGTTGTAAGGTGCCATGGAGTCGGTTCCAAATCATAGTGACCCTACGTGCAACAGAATGAAACACTGCCCAGTCCTGCCCCATCCTCTCAATCGTTATGCTTGAGCCCATCACTGCAGCCACTGTGTCAATCCATCTCGTTGAGGGTCTTCCTCTCTTCTGCTGACCCTCTACTTTACCAAGAATGATGTCCTTCTGCTCCCTCGTGATAACTGGTTCCCATTATATAGATGAGGAAACTGAGACCAGGAGAAGGAAATTCAGACCTCATAAATCCAATCACAGAACTAGGACTAAAAGTATAGATGAAGAAAGTGGGCTCAGGAAACAGGCTTTCTGGATTTTAATCCCCCCTATACCACTTATTGTGCAGACTTAGGAAAGTTACCTAAATTCTTTTTTGTTCTTAGTTTATTTATCTATGCAAAAGAGCTTTACAATAGTACCTACCTCACAGGGTCGGTCGTAAAGATTAAATGAGATTATGTGCATAAAGCACTTACTAAGCACAGTACCAAGCCAGGAAAACAATTAACTGTGCAGCAAATAATAGCTTGGAGGAAGAGGAGGAGGAGAAGGAGAAGGAGAAGGAGGAAGAGGAGGAGGCGGAGGAGCAGCAGCCACCACCAGAACCCAGCCTATGAGAACACATGAATAGGCACTTTTCAACAGGCAAACTGTGCTCAAGGCATCAGATACATGTATTTCAATAATAAAAATTCTGAGCCTTCACTGGAGATTGTTTTACCTGATCTCAGAATCAAAGGAATAGAGATGACCTAAGGTTTCAAAATCTTCATCCAATGCT